TGTGTGTGTGTGTGTGTTGGGGTTTGTATCCCACTCAGCAGGGGTTGGCCCCGACAAGCAAATTTGAAGAAGCCTGCTTTACAAATTATCCAAATTTAGTCAATGAAGGTGCATATAACACTGACGATGAAGAAATAATGATGCCTCCTTATTTCTACATATTATGCAATAAAGTAGAGACAAATATGTTGTCCAGATTTCCCTGAGTTCTTGCCGATTCGGCACGATGCAATTCGTTCTCTAACGATCACCCATATTTTTGTGGATGGTTTTGTTTTTGTGTTTGGGGTTTTTTTGTTTCTGGGAGGAGGGGGGGGGGGTTTGTGGGTCACACCCAAATCCAACTCATGGAGTCGAAAATAGCTGTGAAGATAACCTCGTAAAATTTTGATCTAAAAACTGATGACGATTTATTCCTGTCGTTACAATAACGGGGATGAAACATACGAGGCCCCGCCACCACTTTTCCTTTCATAACTTCTTTTTATGTCTTTTATTTATGACACGAAATAGCTCATGATAAGTGGCTGGGGGGGTGTTACAAAGGGGGTACTTTTTTTCTTTCCCTCTGCTGTTTTTTGTCTATCTATCTTGCTTTTCCACATCCCATACCTGCCATTATTGCATTGATATGCTTCTCTTTACTCAAACAAATAAAACAAAACAAACAGCTGGTGTTGTTGAGCTGTTTCGTTGTTCAACATTAGCCTACATAACGTTATCGCTGAGGAGCCAAGTAAGAAAGGTATTTTTTCTGTCAGAAGACTCGTGTATAAGCAAGGTAGAGAACATGCTTGGATGGTATGATATCAGAGTGGGAATAGCCACTTATTTTGAGAGGCGGATGAGTATTTAATAACTTTTTCAGAGATACGGCAGCTGTCATATTTGTCTCATGCCCCCCCCCCCCTCGTCCGCCTTCCCACAAACAGAACCACTACTACTACAACAATGATCGGAACAGTAGCATGAATAAACATGGCGATAACCAATTAGCTATGAGAAAATTTTTAATGAGTAGTAAAAGTTGATATCTGAATTTAAAATAATTAACGAAGAAAGGTATGACATCGCAAATTTATTAAAAACAGCAACTGAATCAGAGAAACAAACAGCAATAAGAAGAAATATTATAAGAAACTCCTCGCTATCAAGTTGCGAGCTCCCGCAACGTTCATCTCAAAACACGGCGTAATTCCCCATAGCTTGTTCCTTCTGTTTAAAGATTTTGAAAACAATTTTTCCCAGCATACCTCTACGCAAGCTGTTTAAACCTTTCTTAGACTGGAAACGCAAACTCGTCCCAGGTGCAAATTCCCATTTCTTTACTTCTTCATCCCCCCCCCCCTCTCTCTCTCTCTCTCTCTCTCTCTCCTTTAAAAAATCCAAAACGATTTTTCGAAATGCATACCATAAAACAAACGGTTGAGGGCTTTCCTTTCCTCCCTTGTGATGTGGGCTGCATAAACTCTGCTTCCTGTCTAGACCAAGGGTCAGTGAGAATAGAGACAATTACTGCAAACGAGGCAATTTTGAACGCTTTCTGAGATAATAGAGGCGCAATAGGCTCCTGAATATGTGCATGTAAAATATCTTTTTACCCCTGAACACTTTACCCCTGAACACTTTAACCCTGAACACTTTACTGCTGAACACTTTACTGCTGAAAGAGGTTGCTTTGTGCCTTCGCCAGAAAACTGCTACTTAAATGCTAACTAGCGTAACTGCACATTTCACAGTTTTGAAAAAAGTACCAAAAACGTTTCATGCTTAGCCCATCGAAAGTTAAGAATGCTTCTAAACATGGTTGTTTGGACACGTCACGCTGCCATTGACAATGGGATTGGGATCAGTCACTTTCGAAGGTAATAATATTAATAGGTAATAGATAGCATTTGTATGGCGCAAATCCCCGCTCAAAAGCAAGTTCTATGCGCTTTACTGTCTATGCCACAGCTCCAGCAGACCTGATATCATTCTGAAATAATCTTAACTTCCTGGGAAGCTCACTGTGCAAACTGAGCTGCCATTTTATAGGCGCTAAAACACTAATATACTGACGAGATCTTCGCTGTCTATCGCCGGATATCTATTCCCATCAGGGTGAATAGAGGAAAATTCGTGTAAAATGCCTTTCGCAAGGACACATGTCTGGCCTGAGGCTCAAACCCCGAACCCGCAAACCCAAGATTACGAGTCCGGTAGCTTAACCGCTAGACTGCCGACGCCTCAAGAGATTTATCTCTTTAACAACTACTACACGTATTTTGGTTGCATATACGTATCCCTGTGCCTAGTGAAACAAATCATAAGAACTGCAAAAGGTCAAGTTTGTCAGATACGTCGCTTTACCTTTAGAGGGGCAACTTCGTAAACTCTCTTGTTTTCCAAGTCTATTTTGGACACACTTAGTGAAAGTTCGGCTGTGGTTTACCTAGCTCTGTTATAGCTAAGAGTCAGTGATGTAACATCATTTTCCTTTTACACTTTGTTGTTGGGTTTGAGATCACTGCTCATTCAGCTTTTATCTTTTTTTTTAAACAGAAAAGGGGAAGAGGCGGGTGAGGAAAGGGGTGAGGAAAGGGGTGAGGGGCTTAAAAGAAAATTATTTGGATTACAGAAACGTTTAACTTCTGGGAAGAAATAGGGTACGCCTTGCGTCAGAGATGCTATGCAATTATTTTCCTATCAGCCTTTTCATAACAAACTTTTTTACCAGTGTATCTTAACGGGGTCCACATGCACTTTTACAGGGTATATATCTTAAGAAAGTAACGAACTAATTTTACTGTTAGAAATAACATTTCTTTTTTGCATTCCAGCTGGCAATAAACAGGAAACAAATATTTGAAATTCAGATTTTGTGTTTTCCCAGTATCCTTAAAAATTGTAAAGAAAGATGTTTTTCATGCACAACGCGAGATGTCATAAAAAAGCAATTAGCCTTGATCAGAAAAACTTGAAGAGTTGGGTTTCCAAACAAAGAGTAAGATGTGGTTTTTCATTTTGACACTGACCGTGCAGTCATGGAGACTGTTTAGCTTAGTTGCAGCTCGTTTGACGCCGAGAAGATACAAGGGACCTGTTCATGTAAAACAAACAACCAATTGATTGTGTGCCTTTCATACATTTTAGTTATTTTTAGCTCATACGAGTACGAGCCGGGTGAGGGGTGACCTGGGTTTTGCCTATTTTTCAGCTTTCTCGAGAACAAAATAATCTAGGTCAAGTGCTTTGATTCCATTTTTGGGGGGACTGTTTTTCAGCACAAATCTACTAATGTAAAACATATTATAAAGAGATACAACTTTATTGATAATGTCAAGTGCATTGAAGAAGCATAAATGTACTTAAAAATGCAAATTTCCTTCCAAAATGAGTCGAATCGAGGCTTTCTTAGTCACCTGTACGGCTGACGAAAATGCGTGCATGCAGGAAAATGGCGTAGTCATGCAAAGGAAGTCAGTGACTGACGAAAACGAGCTCATTTGCATGTGAGCCTGGCCTGCAACTGACGAAAAGTGGACGTGGTGCATTAGGCTTTTAACTTACAAATTTGTTTCACGCCACGAAAGAAATGGTGAGCATTTTCCTGAGCACAAAAGTGCTTAAAATAAAAGAATACTTACTGTTGCCCCTAATCAGGATGCCACAAATACAGTTTCGAGGACACTTGACTCAACACAAATGCTTTGAACATGTTGCTCACAGTGGAAGAATAGATGCCAAACGAGGCAGGGAAAACCTGAACAGATGGATGACAAGGAAACACCAGCACATCTAAGGATTTTAGAGAGCATCCTAGCTGAGCACTGAATGGCGAACCACGATTAACAACGTCTGTTTCAGATCTGTCACTTTATGATGATGACTGTTTTCCATAATGCTAGCCTTCTAATATAATAAGGGCTGAGACGTATAGTTGTCAAAATCGTAAAAATAGTAGAAACACTAAAGAAGAACATCTACGACGAGATAAGGCTCTATGTACCAATGAAAAATATCGAATTCAAATGACTTATTGCGATGATCAAACTCAACTTGGCTGCAGTTTTGGAAAAGGGAAACTTACGTTATTCTGTTTTTTATGATAAGTAATGTTATATCGTGACAGCTTTTGAGTTCTTACCTATTCCCTTCTCCACGTTCTTTCATAAGGCAATTTGCTAATCAGCCTCATAGAATATTATTTGTCACAACATCTCGATCCCTTCAATTTTTTATTTTTTTTCGTGGGGTGGTTGCGCGAGGGGGCTTTCATTTTATTGGGATGTTTTGGCATAATTGTATGCTGTATTCAATTTGGTTTCGATTTCTCCTATTCCATTGCCGTTTGTGTAATGTAAATGTTACCTTCAGTAGCTTCTTTGGGATCATCGTTTGCCATTAGGTTGATTTTTTTATGTTTCACCTAACTTTTTTTTTGTTGATGAATAGAATGTTACTTTTGTTTTTGAACCAGTTTTGCTTTGATCCCTGCATGCATTCATGTACCACTGATGCTACTTTTTAGCCTCACATCGTCAGCGCCATTGTACAACCGCCCAAATCAGTTTCTGCTAGTTCCCAGAATTCTGCTGGTTTTCAAATAGAGCCACTTTTTCGAATAAAAGAATAGACGTTCAGGAGCATTTTACAATATAGTTTTGTTCCATTTCGTTTCGTTATGTTTTCCCCAGCGTTTAACTGGAAAAGAAATACTGCCTACGCCAGAGTTCACAATCAAGGACATCATAACCTTAACACAGGTCTATGGTCGGGGCGCTCTAACCACTCAGCCACTCTTCTGAAGGTTAATTAACTGATAATCTCGAAAGGAAGATAGTGAAAGATTACATTTCCTTACAGCTATCATATCGCGGGTGGTTAAAGAATGCAACTGGCAGGTGTATATTTGTTTGGTTATAGAGAAATCTCTCCTTGTCTTTTAAAGAAACTGAATACGGGGCAAAAACCCTTACCTTTGATTTTCTCAGAGCAGCATTTTTCGAGATAGCCCC